AGCTTTTGCAGGCTCTCCCCTTTAGCACGGACACTCGTCCCAAACCTAGCCCTGTAGTCTTAGGACTGATTTTGAGTTCCATACCTGAGTTCTAGAGCCACTACCAGTGCTCTATAGTTGTGCCTGTCATCTGCTGACAACTGTCCAAGTATTTCCAGTGGTTGTCCCTTCGAGCTCTTTGCCAGATATAATGCTTTCTGCTCCTCTGTCCATCCATTCATCTCTGCCAAGAGCTCAAATTTGGCTCTATATGCTTCCCACGGTGCCTTCCCATCGAATTCCTGTGGCTTCCTTCTTACTAGATCACCTCTATTTCTGACATTCATATCTGGGATGTGACTTCCAACAGGGTTGAAGATGTCTGCATTAGGGTCTAGATGCGGGGTCTGGAAGGGGCTTGCCATTGTCTGGGGCTGATTAAGTTGATGGTTAATGTATCCTCCTTGTGTAAAAGACAATAGATCATCCTTTAATATATTTAATTCGCTTTTAAATTTACTAATGTTTTCCATTTGTACTTCTTGCCACTGTTGTTGACTTTCCCGCAACTGTTGGAAACTTTCTTCCTGTTTACATTCTTGTTCTAGTTGCCACTGCTGTAATCTCTCTTCTTGTTTATTTTCTTTTTCCTCCAACAACTACTGTAATCTCTCTTGTTTATTTTGCTGTTCGAGCTGTCACTGTTGCAGGTTTTCTTGCCACTGCTGTTGTCTCTCTTCTTATATCTTTTCTTTTTCCTCCAACAACTGCTGTAATCTCTCTTTTTGTTTCTTTTCTCGTTCTTCTTGTTCTTGTATTGCTGCCATCAAATCTGGTAAGCTTTAGTTTAATTTGCCACTTCTCGTTTCTATCTTCTTCTCTTTTTTTTTCCGTCCCACTCTCTGACATCAATTTGTTACATATTTGCTTTTTGGTAATTTTCGGTATAAATTCTTTCCGCGAAACTTCAGCGATATAAGTCCTTTCTTGATTAACCCAGTTTGTTCTTCCTGGATACAAACTTTGTAATACACTTAACAACTTTTATAACACACGCTATAAATCACAGTGATTCACACACTTATCTACAGTGCCTACTGTATGCTTGACTCAATCATCTATCTCTTCAGTCAATCTGCATATCTATATATCGCTGACTTTATTTGCGGGCTTATATACTAATAAAAAGAGGGCGGACAGACATTTCGCGGGGTTTGTTGATAATTCATGATCCTTCGAGAAACTCCAGCGCGCATGCTGCCAGCGTCGCGTGACTGCCGTTGTGGTAACAATATGGTATATTCAATAATATTGGCCTTTACAAAAAATTAAACAGATTGGGAGTTGGATTAAAAACAAAAAGTTACAAATGAGATAATTTTACTAACATGAAGTTTATTGTATCTTCAATTTGTAATTATTACAGAATCTCAATAAATATTAAACAATATTACTACTTTGGAAACATTTATAGGCTTCATTCCTTTACTGTTTATCAAACCATTCATTTCTGACATTTTTACATGAAAAAATTTAATACAGCAGCCATATTAATCAAATCAAATTACCCTGTAAGTCTGATGGTCTATAATGATAGAAAGATTTTGATATAGGTGGTGGGTGGATCACAGGTAAACCACTGTGTAGCTTTGCACTTAACAACAAAACAAACACACACAAAGCATGTGTTGCGTCATCGAGATCACGTGACAATTCTCACGCTCTCTTGTTTCTAGAACTATCCCGTATCTTGGCGAATGGTCTAGTATTTGCTAGATAGGGTAGGCTGGTATATAAAAGAGGGGAATGTAATGTGTGGATAGATTTTGAGTAATTGAACTGCAGTCAGAGAGCACGAGAGACGTTACAGCATTTGTTTAGCTCGATTGTTGAAGTTGAGTGTATCGGTAAAGTTATATTTGGAAAGAATAAACTAGTTTTATTAAGAAAGGGGTTGTGTCGCTTAAGTTTGTCGGAACGAAGTTACGGAAAGTTAATTAACAAACGGAGACGTAACACATGTTACATACCGAAAATCAACAGGATTTTTATTCAACTGATTACTTTTAGTTACAATTCAAAAAACTTTATTCATGTGCCTTTAATCTTATTGAATAATTCTAAAACACATATTAAAGAATGTTAACTTATACTATCTTGACAACAAAGTTACAATATTTTTACACTTCTTTTAAGTCATTACATTCATTACTTCCCGAGAAAACAACCCCATTTGCTACGATTGAACTCTGCATCCAACTAATAACGGAACCAACTTGGTTAGAATCACGACGAAAAAGCCTATATATCTGAGTTGAACATAGTGGCTCACTCCAGAGTTGCAGATCACTTAGTTCCCCATGCCAAGCTTGTTTTGAATCGAAACCACCACCAATTTTGTCTTGTTCTTGTCCAATAACAGCAGACCCATCACGGCGAATTTCTACACCGACTCCTACTTTGATTTTACTCTCTGAACATTTACTTCCGTCAACATACATTTCATTCCGTCCACTTATTCCTGACCAGACATAACAGAGCTGGTGCCATTGCCCAATCTTGAAACCAGGACAGGCCGCACGTGATTGTTCTCCTTTTACATGTATTGACAAATCGTATGATTCTCCTGATTTCTTGTAAACACCCAGAAGTAATTCGTTATCTCCACTTTCTGGATGATTATAGGAAAAAATGAAGCTAGATTCAGCTGCAAAGTTCCATGATTTAGCCCACGTGCACAACGTAGCATGACGTAATGGTCTCTCTCTCTCTAGATATATAAATATATATATATATATTACTAATATGTATTATTTACCACCTACATTAATTGTTGTTGTTTTTATCGTTTTTAATTTTGGTAAAACATCGTCTTCAATATGCCCAGAAAATTTTGAAAATAAGTTTAAAGTTAAAGCTTATTTCCCACCATCAACTAAAAACTTCTTTCCTCATTTACGGCTTGAGGGATCTCTACCATAGTGACCGTGGGGAAGTTTAGAATTACTATAAGACCTTGAGCTTTTTTAGTTTAAGTTCTTGAATATTTATTTAGTGCTATGTGCTTTTCAATAGTCACGCGTCTCTGCAGTTCGCTTATGCCTTAAAATACTGACCTTGTAACGACCTTGTTTATTAGTCAGAACATTCACACGCCTTTTGAAATATACCAGTTAACACTCAATAAAAAGTTTGTATAAATAACTTTCAAGGGCATCAGTAAGTACCCTGCGTTTTTTTATTGATTTGTCCCTGATTTATCGCCATGCTCAACTTTGTCCAATTAAAGGTAGGCTTATTTCAGGGGTGGTGAGTATTTATATAGGAGAAGTCAGCTCCAAGCACGAGTCGACAAGTTTTACGAAGCTATCACTATTAGGCATGTTTACCAAACTGTTATGTCGAAGAAGAAGAAAAAAAAGAAATATTCATCTGGGATTTGTTAAAATTGTGTGCACATAATCATCGAATTATAAACTTATAATTTTGCGTGAAATTATTTAACACAAAGTTTTACTTCTTTGTTCTACTTCATGATAGGAAGCTTGAACTGTTACAGTTTAATGCGTGAACTAACATTAACAATACTCTAAGAGCAAAATAAAATAAAAAGAACTCCTAAGACATTTAGAAATATATACGAACGATATCAAATATGTGACTTTAGTGTTTGTACTTCTCGTGATTAGAGCTGTTTTACAAACAATAATCATAATAATTTATCTTTAATTCTTTACGTAAATAATAATTTGAATATGCCATGCAAAAACTTAGATAACACGTTGCTAACTTTCTATATCGATAGACTTCTATATTTATTAGTTTTTTTTTCTTAGTTATTTATTTTTAGGAGCTTACGGTATTGCACTCTTAGTAGAACTTGTCATTACAGTATTAAAATATATATCGACAACCAATAAATACAAGGCTGGTCCGCATTTATCTTACTAAAACGTTATAACGTTTAGAAAGTTTAGTTTTTCAAAACTTCTTTACAGATTTCTCGATCCTTTTGCTTGCATGGCCGGGGGTAGCCAAATGTTTACAAACTGTGAATCAACTTTCAACGTTCGTGTTCTGTTTGCTGCAAAAATGCCCTCCGCACCTTTGTAGCGTAAGTGCACTATAAAAGTGACAGCCAACTCCAATTATTTGGTAAGACAAGGGTAGCTCAGTAGTTGGTGGCGATTGTTGTTGACTAGCTGCTTCCCCTCTAGTCTGTCAGCTCAGAATTATGAAAGGCTATGCGAAGATAGCCCATTGTTAGCATTGCTTGAAAATACTAAAAAAATAAAAAGTCCTTGCATACTTAAAATTATGCCAACCTTTTCTAAAGTGTTTGAATAGTTTGACGTTTGAGAGCCAGAAATCCTTCGGAAAAATTTTATATTGATTTGATTTGGTCGTTGTTAAGCACAAAACTATGCAATGGGCTATCTGTATTCTACCCACCACAGGTATCAAAACCCACATTTTAGCGTCGTAAACCTGCATACTTACCGCTGAGCCTCTGGAGGACAAAATCTATAGACGAATGCTCTAAAATCAAATTATAGTTATTTTTTATTCATACTTGTAAGGTAGAATTTATTTTATAATGCAGGAACGTTAAACTATTTGATTACGAGGACGAATGGTTAATGTATATTGTTTGGAATTGTATGTAAATTTGTTTTTATTTCATAAGAAACTGCTATAATGAGTAACAAAAAATATATATACACTGATGAACTTTAGCAAAGCAGTGAGAGATATGATAATTAATTTATTTGTTCTTACTCGAATTGGATCTTTCAATCTGAAGGGCACCTTATGCGTACGTGGGCTGAATGGTCAGGTCAAAGATTCCTATAAATCAGGAACACACCTCCCTAATGTTAATTATTGACCAGAAGAAAGGCAGCGAGCCAGCCGCCTCGAACAATATAATTCGACTGATATTTTTATTCTAGCGAACAAACTAATAAAAAGCTGTTATTTTTTATTCCAACGAACAAGCCCTTAAAATTAATGTTGTGTACTGTAAAAAGTTCAGTCACGTGATTAGCATGAAACCATGAAAAGGGGATTTCCACTCCATGATTAGAGATAAACAAAATATAACGTTTTTCTAGAAACTTTGAGAAATTTTTATTTGTTTGTTTGTTGTTAAGCGCAAAGTTACACAATGGGCTATCTATACTGTGCCCATCATGGGTATCGAAAACCGATTTTTAGCGTTATAATTTCACAGACTTGCGGCTGAGCCACTGGATGAGGAACAGTCAATGTGATTATATCGTGTTCATTGAAACTACAGTACACATCTCGAGTTACTTAGAATTTTAGTTGCCTAGATAACCTTGACACGCGTTGCTAAGGGAAAATATAAAGCTTCTTGATAAAGTACTAAGTATAGAAGTTAATAAATACATAATAATAACGAGTTCGGAATTACTGTTGCCGAAACCGTTTCCCATGCACTTCATGGCTTATGTTTTAATATAACAAAGAAAAACTTCGAGACAATAGAGAGGAGCGGAAACTACTCTTTATGTACACACGAGGCTCTGAATAATTCAGTAGTTTTTTATTGAACCATATTCAACAGTAGAATATAAATATATTATGTAACGTATTTAGCGGGACGGCATACAGTTTGTGGTAAAAAACAATAATAAAAACATTCAATTTTGTACAAATGGAAAACTGAGATATATTAGGCATATTTTCATACTTAATAAAAAGTTATTTCAAAATTGAATAAAAATTTGTTACAATAAATTTTTACTTGGAGGAACTTAATACATCTAGGAAAGTTCAACAGCCTAAATTTCTTCTACCTCGCCTGCCAGTGGCACAGTGATATGTCCGGGGACTAATATTGCTAGAAACCGGGTTTCGATACCCGTGGTGGGCAGAGTTCAGATAGCCCTTTGTGTAGCTTTGTGCTTAATAAAAAAACAACAACAAATCTTCTACCACACTAAACTACTTTGGGGATATTTCAATGGTCAAGTACAAGTTTTCATGAGGTCAGTGTGAGAGAAGAAATTATTTGTTTTGAAGACGACTTGATCTCCTAATACAGGTTTCCATCAGTCAGATAAGGGTGTTTTTAACTTGCTGCATTCTGTCTTGTCTTCAGTTCAAAATAAGGAATGGTTTTGTGCAGATAGCTCTTGTGTAACTTTAGATAAAGTTCTGTAACAAATATACTAATAAACAAAAACTGAATTTTAAGTAAAACTATGATATCCATACAGGATACGACAAGGATGTTTTAACAAGTTTATGATACTGAAAGAAAGAGGAAACTATACTGAAATTTCCATCATGTAAGAACTTTAATGAGTTTATTAATACAGATCAAAATTAAATACGTGTAGAAACATATCCCAAGCATTAAAGTTTTAAATGTTTATTTATAACCCTGGAAAATAAAGGGAACTTGAAACTTGTGCTAAGTAGAAAAGTTTTTAAAAGTATATTAATAAAGAGGATAAGGAAAAGATGCTAACTTATATAATAAGCTTCAGAAAGATTCTTCATAAGGAAGAGATAAGATATATTGAAACAGTTTAAAAGTAGCCACAAACGCGAAAATAGCTAAAACAGTGGTCGGCAACCTTTTTTGATCGCGGGTCAATTTTTTTTTTTTTTTTGTTGAAAAATTTAGCATTG